CAGCCTCTGTGATGTTTTCCGTAATGCACATGCAATTTTCCCGATTAGACAGGAAGAGGTGCATTACTTAAAGTGAGAAGATGAATAAATTATGACCCTGTTGCCCCGACAGACAATGTGGCTTTTCGTGTGCAATAAATATAAATCATGGTGCAAATTGCATTATTTTGCAAGACATCTAAACAGTTCCCCTGCTCATGCTGTCAGTGAAAGTCACAGTATTGCACTCAGTGCAGTATAAATGTGCACAGATTAATTATTATATGTTTGTGCTTTTCCGTAAGCCTGCGGTGGGTTTGGCTCCATGCTTTGGCCGCTCTCTGAGAACCGCAAGAAATATCAATATCAGACAGCATTCGTCATGGTCAGTCCTTCACATGCCGGCATCCGCTTGATGCATGTGCTTCTCTTCGGTTAAAAGCCGATTTGCATCAATTCTTGTACTTTAAACAACAACAACAACAAACTCTATGCAGGCCCATATGTCTGTACACTTTAGCATATTTATGAAAAGGGAACAAATTACATGAAAACACCTAAGTGTGAACTGAATATATTGTTTTCAGACACTTAACTGTATTTACAGTTAAATAAAAAATATTATAATTTAAATTTAATGAAATGTGATTAAAGTATATAGAATATGCTCACAAAAAATTATAAAATATACTTTAATGTCATTTGTTTTGAAACTGTTTTGCAGACTACAAGTAGACATTATACGCAATTAAGCACACTCCTTTTTCACAAGTTGCAAATCAATAATCACAAGTTGCAAATCAATAATCAATAAAGGACACATTAAGAAGTGGACATGTGGATGCAGCTAAAGTGGTTGTAATCAATCATTTTAAGCATTTAAAGACAAAAAGAAAATAAATAAATACAAATATAATAATTTACTCACCTCAAGTAGTTCCAAACATGCATTATATGAGTTTATTTCTTCTGTTTAGCAATGTATTTATTTATTTAGGATGTTGTAACTAATAATTTGCTGGTAGCCATTGATATTAATGTGGAAATAAATACTATGGAAGTCAATAGGAAGTAGCAACTGTAGGGAGAGTAAATTATGACAGAAGTTTTATTTTAGGGTGAACTATCCCTTTAGACAGGTGACATTTTTACCCATGGCAAATGACATTGTGGCCTACAACAAGTTCAGCTACACAGCAAACATACAATAATCGGAGATGAGCTTTACCGTCTCAGAAAAAAAGCTACAAAAGCTGTCACTGGGGCAGTACTTTCTCAAAAGGTAACCAGTACGCCCTAAATCAGTCTGTTCAAGTCAACCGTGTTCCTCAACCACTCCAGCTTTGGCAGACATTCGATGCCCATGATGGCCATGTGTCAGAGGGCCAGTTGAGTGTTGGAGAGCTGTGGGATTGTATGGAGAATCTGAATGTAATTAGAATAACTCTCAGCTGCCATTGGTCCAAAAACATCCAGCTGTTACGGCTGAGCTTCCTTTAGAGGAGCCGTGTCATTCGGAGGTGATAGTCACTAGTTACAGGAGCAGATCAGCCAAACATGGATATTTGGTGTAATAGAAAATACTGTAGTGTTCCCTAAAGAGATGTACTTTTCAGACATGCAAAAAAAAAAAAGTACATGAGAGCTTCCTTTATTTGTGAATTTTTTTTTTCTGGAATGCTGTTTTGAAATTTTCATTATTTGAGTATGACTTGAATATGTAATTTTGTTGTGTGTTTTTGTCATTTTTCATTAGTTTATATTTTATGTCTCTAAAGTCTATTATTATTACTATTATTCAGTTTTAATTATTTTAGTACATCAAGGTAAACTAAAATGAGAAATTGGTGACTATCTGAAATAAAATCAGTTTAAATGATTGTATTGTATTTTATTTTAGTTGAAGTTTATTTAATTTCAAGTAATATATTTTTAGTTAACTATAACAAACCTGACACTAATCAATGTGTAAATAATTTACAACATATAGAAATCAACATCTTTTATGAAAATCTTTCATTCAAAAATTTGTCTGAAACTGCCACCCCCCCACACCCCCCTTTGTGTTATGAATTACATTAACTTTGCCCGTTCACCTTCACTTTGTAAATACATTTACTATTAATTATTTTGTCTGTCGTCTCTCAGTGACCTTTGGAAAATCCGTCCAGGTAAAGGCTACTGAACTTTTCCCTCTGGTGTAAAGATTTTAAATGGTTAACGTGTCTATCTCCATGTTTGTAATTTCAGTGAAATGATGCATTGTTATGTTCTGACAGGCAACCTCAAATTAGTCTGAACTAATTAGTTAAAGGAGCCTTCATTAGACGCTCAGCTGCATATTTGTCACTGCAGGTGACGCCGGCAGCAGAAGCCTGTGTGACTGCAAGATCTTCATTCATTAAAGACTGTAAACAGCCGTACAGGAAGAGGGAAGAAATGATTTAATTGACAATTAGATAATTGCATTGAAGAGAGAATATTAATCTGCATTCAGCTGCCTAGAGCTCGTAGCATATACATCTCTTAATTATGTATGAACTGTGTAAAGACACCTTTAAGATGAGCAGGATATTTGTAAGGTAATATCCATAAATTTACATGGACCATGACCAGTTTTTGCATTGTCAGACATATTATTAATGCAATTTTTCCCCTGCAGAATGTTAATTATGGAAGCAGGCATACATGATGTGTGCATGATATTACTCATTAATGATTCATAACCTTTTTTTTTATTATTAAAGGTGGGTAAGGTCATATTTCCATTAACAGTGAAAACACAAACATGTTGTAATTAAATTCTCAAAGGACAAGCTATTCAACTCATAATTTACAGACACGATTAAAATGTTTACAACATATGTTAAAAAGGTAGATAAATTGAAGCTATATATGAGGACAACATCTGAATAAATTAGATAGATAGATAGATAGATAGATAGATAGATAGATATAGAAATATTTTTTCTATAATTTTTCTAATAATTTTAGATATAATAATTTGTATTTAGTTAAAAATGTTGTTGTTTTTTTGTTGTGATTTTGTCATTTTTAAATTATAGTTTTATTATTTTTTTATTTCAGTTTTAGTTATTTTAGTACATCAAGTTAAATTGTATTCCAACTAATATTCATTTTATAAAAAAAAAAAAAAAAAACGATTAAAAAATAGTATAGCCCTGGAGAAATAGCAGCATTTAATTAAATATTTTCTCAGTCATAAAAAAAAAAAATAATAATAATAATAATAAAAAAACATAAAAATAAAGAAATACAAACAAACAAAGGTTTTCCCTTGGCTATACAAATGAATGCACAATACAATGTGATGCTACACAGTACAAATTGGGGAAAAGTACTGTATTACTGCAAAATCACTATTATGAAAACAGTTGAGCTTCTGTCAAACTGCTGGGGAATATAGTGCAGTTATTAAGTATTAGTCACTCACAGGTGCTGTGTCACATCACATGCTGTCTGATGCTTCATGAAGAGGGTGCATGTTGTATTTTAATAGCTCAGAATTTGGGCTATAATGCTGGAAGGGAAGATCTGGAGGATCATTACAATTTAAAATGGCTCTTATCACAACATAAAAAACATGCTGCCGGATAGACAGTCATAAAGAGTGCTGCTGACATATGCTGTGATATGGAAATACAGCTCATTTTAATAACATACAGGCTGGTCGTGGAAAGCTCACATATCTTTTTCTTTAAGATTTTCCATAAGACATTGAGACCTGTTTTTTTTAACCAAAAGTTATGCTATACTTTCTCCAAAATGATCTTGCTAAAACACATCTGATTCTCATGAATGTCATGAAAATCATCCAGCAATTAAATTCAGTACAATAATACAACACATACCATGATAGGGGCTAAAATTAACTGAGCACCAAATGAGAGTAAATATCAGCATTTGTGAATTCATAAAACAGTGTCACTCATCAGTTGGCCTGTAACATTTCTTATTAATCCTAACAATGCCTGAAATTCAATATGATTCAGCACAGTTATTAAATCGCAAACACTGTGTTGTAATTATATAATATGTAATCTGATGCACTGATGTGTTGAAGAACTGTGATCATTTTTAACGGTTCACAGTAAATGCTGCTCTTTAATTAATTTTAAGCTCTTTAATTCATTTTTTTTATTTCACTTTGTGTTTTATCAAGTTAAATTTTATTTATTTTCAACTAGCATATATTTTATTTCAAGACACTTTTTTTCTTATGTATGTATGTATAATTATTATTATAATTATAATTATTATTATTATTGCAATCAGATGTGTTTGCCCATTTTTTTATATATATATATATTTTTTTTTTATAACTGCGCACATACAGTTTCATGGCTGGTAAAAATGAATGAATGAATGAATTTTAACAATGATGAGATTGCTCCATTTTTTTCTTTGATTTTGAGTTGAAATATGTTTTCAGAAGCTTTATCCTCAGTGTGGCTTGACATAAAAGGTGGACATTTGCTTTTTTTTCTGGACTCAGAATCATTATACTGTTATATAATGTTCTGTTTTATTTTATTTTAATATTAACATCTCTTTTACAGACGCCTCTAGACAGGAGCGTATTTACTCTTGTCCATCTCACTTTTACGCAGGATATCAGCATGTACCACTTAATTGCATAAATGAGGCTAATGCAATAAATTCATGTGCAAACGCGCACATGCCGTTAATTAGCCAGTGGAGATGCGCCGCCATTCTCCTCCACGAACCGACCCCATGTCACAACATATCATAAAGCTGACACTCACCCCGTCTGAACTTATCATGCCACCAATTAGTCTGAATAAAGAGAAGGCTGTACTTCCTGTTTGTAATTCATTCTCATCGTTGAAAAGGGCAGTGAGTCGTGTTAGTGCGGCGCTCTGCAAACCAACTGCTAATAAAATAAACTATCGGGGGTTATGACAACAGGATTCGATTTTCGATTTCAGGGTTTGATGACTTATGTTCAGATGTTGTCTTGTGTTTCTTGTGTCCTGCAGGTCTCCACAGAATGGAGCGAGAATGAGCAGAGTGCGGTCGAGAGTGAAGCATGAACTGGAGGCTCATTGAAGTCACTTACTTCCTGTTTATATGGAACCATATAACAGTTCAGTCTTCCCGCCAAGAGCCCTCGGCCAACGAGCAGCATGTTACCAAGCAGTTTGACTGGCTCATCTCGGACCGTGGCCCTTTCCACCACTCGAAGGGGTACCTCTCCTTCATGGAAAGATTTCGCCAAGGATTCACGACCCGGTATAAAATTTATAGGTGAGTAATCAACACCATGCTATGCACTGTGTATGGCCTTTGCTCATTGCCATATATGAGTTTCTGCCGAGTTCTCTTAAAATGGGCAAGTTATGAAGAACTGTCCTGAGTGTGAACCTGTTTTATCATCTTATAGAAGTTCAAAGCATCCTGAGCATTCGTTTCCAGCCATTCAGAGAGGATATGCATGCAATCTGATCAGCGCCACATTATTGTGCTTTCACGGTTCTCAAGCTCATGAAAAAGCTGAGATCTTTAAACTAGTGCTTTCCAGGCTTGGAAGAAATCATAAGCTGTTCTGATTTTTTTTAGCTCTGAAATAATACATTGGCAAGAAATTGTGGTAACACTTTATTTTAAGTACCAATTCTCACTATTACTTAGTTGTTTATTGGCATGCATATTACCAGCATATTGGATGTTTATTAGTACTTGAATATATGCATGTTTATTAGTACTTGAATATATGCAATGTAGGCATGAATATATTTTAGATCCATAGGCGTAATTTGCGGGTGGGACGGGTGGGACATGTCCCCACCACTTTTTGCCAGGGTCGATATTGTCCCTACCACTTTTTGAAAGTAATTGAAAAATATATTGCGGAAGGTGTGTATTAAAGGGAAAACAAGATCATCAAATCATTCTTCATAATCTAATTAGGGTGATAAAAAAACAAAAAAACATTTGACTCCTTACGCATGCATAACTCGTGCAGTGCAATAACGACGTGATTTGCAGCTGTCGCACTTTTCGTAATGTCATTAGGCTATAGCATTTTATTTAAAAAATGGAGAGCTTCCTTGTGCTAGTATCTTACTGATTTATTGTTGTTGTGCTTTTTAATTAAGAATAACAATGAATCCATCTTTTGTTTTAGTCTTAAAAATGAAAGATATAGATGTAAGCAAAACAGACAATTATATTTTATTGTAAAACCTGACACGATCGTGAAATCGAAAGTGAAAGCATCTGAAGCCCGGTTTATAACATGGCAAAAGAGGAACTCCCGTTCACAAAATTCAAATCACAAATAATACTACTGATGAAAAAGAACGGGTTGAATGTTAACTACTTTCGTTTCCATATAACTATAAACTACGATAAAAGTTCATCAGCATGCATTGATTAATAGCATGTTGTAGGCAAAGAAAAAAAAAACGTGCTCCTGCAATCAACTGAGAAAGTTAATTGCAAAAGAGCGACCAGTGGGAAGAATGAGTCTGGAGCCCTGAATTGCCCAGCTCCCTCTGTCAATGATCTAGCACCCCATCAGCACCTGCGTTCAAAATTCTCTGGCACCGCCCCTGGTACATCGATGTATTTTTGAAAAGCAAAAATTAAGTTTGTCCAACTCTAAACCCAGTCCCCATGTAAATTTGTTTATTAAATAAAAAACTAGCAAAACGAGTTGCGCGGTGTCCCCACCACTTTTCAAAGCAAAGTTACGCCACTGTTTAGATCCCTTAATCCTTACACTCCATATACCTAAACGTGCAGGAGCACGTTTTTTTTTTTTTTGCCTACAACATGCTATTAATCAATGCATGCTGATGAACTTTTATCGTAGTTTATAGTTAAACAGCTACCTTACTAACTATTAATAAGTAACTAACTATATTAATAAATAAGCAGCAAACTAGAAGTTTACTGAGGCAAAAGTTGTAGTTAATAGTGAGAATTGGTCCCCAAACTAAAGTGTGACCATTTTTTCTAGTTCTGAAATATTGCATCTGCAAGAAATTGCTCTTTGAGAGTGAGTGAAATCTCAGTAAACTGATTTTTGAAAATCAAGTAATAGTGAACAAGTGGGAAAAAAAAATAACTGAAATTCATTGATGTGGAGGCTTGACAACCTGCATTGTGTGCACAATTAAGTTGGCTGTTGTTCTTGTGAAGCAGTGATTTCTGTTGTTAGGTGCTCTGAAAATACTTTAAAGAACATTGAAAATAAAGAGGTACCACTTTACATTAAATCTGTTCTTATTTGTTGACATTAGTTAATGCATACACTTAACCTGACATTTTAACCTAACAATGAGCAATATATTTTTACAACATTTGTTTACCTCTGATAATGTTAGGTAATAAAAAACAAAAAAATAAAGCAGTTGTTTATGTTCAAGTTCACAGTGCATTAAGTAAGGTGTAATTGACGACGGGTCGTTGAATTCTTAAAAAAATAATGCATTATGGGTGTGCATTATTTTCTAAAAATTCAAAGGCCCGAAGTCAATTATTCCATTTATACTACGGTTACCACACCTCAATACATCGATCAAATGATATATTTCAAGGCATTTGTCCGGTTTTTTTACTTAAATCGCTATTGTGAGTTGGATTATTTCTTCCGCATCTCATCCAATGCCTCCGTTACTAATTCAAAAACATAATTTTAAACCTAGTAACGGAGGCTTAAGCCATTGACAGCAGACTAATGCAGTTAGTACAATTAATAACTATGTAATGAGAGAGAGAGAGAGAGAGAGAGAGAGATTACCTATGAGTCTGTGCCTCTCTCAATAGTGTTCGGCAGCAATGTCACTTGTTATAGTGAAACTATAAGTTCAATGAAAGTTAATTTTCTCCACGAACAGCTCCGTTGTTGTAACCTCGCTTGTGAGAAGTCATGTAGTTTTTAAGTTGTTAAACTATGTTACTGATACAATCGTCAGAGTAGAGCTAACAACAGAGCTTATGTTAACGTGTGCGCAAACTGTATGTGTGTGCGTCTGTGAGGGAGAAAGAGCGGGAGAGATAGAGTATGTGCTTTCCGTACATAATAAAACATAATTTTGTGGCAAAAACATGGACATGATCTGTCATTTTTATCCTTTTGTTTACTGTATTTATTTTATTGGTCAGTGTCGTTGTGGGTTTTGGTTCTTTTGCTGTTTTAGGCTGTAAGGACCTTTGAAATAACGCATATCATTTGGCGAAGTGATACAGACATGTAATGCGGTCAAGACCTGCCTGGAACTACGTTCGCCGTGCGTTTCCCTGAAAATAATTGCACATCTTAGAACGTTCGTCAGCCAATCAGATTCAAGCATTCAACATCCCCGTAGTATAACTAATGTTAAAATATACAGTTTTTGATCTGAACATGTATTAGTAAATGCTGAGGATAGCATTAAGATTAATAAATGCTTTAGAAGTTTTATCCATGTTAACTAATGCAGTTAACTAATGCTAACAAATGAAACCTTATTGTAAAGTGTTATTAAAAAAGACATTTGATGGAGGTTAAAGTTTATTAATGCTGTAGGTGTCATGATCATTGTTAGTCCATGATACCTGATATTAACAAATTGAAATGTATTGTAAAGTGTTACCAACATGTTAATGCTGCGAGGTTGCTCTTTCATCATTCAGGAGATTAAATGGAGCTCACTGCTGTTTTATGCCTCTTTGGAAGGTCTATAGGAGAAATTAAAACAACGAGCCACAATTGAGTCCATGGCTGTTGCACTGAGAAATGTCTGAGTTCTGATTCTGCAATCATAGCAAATGTAGTTTATGATATTTTTGGGATGTTGTCTGTGACAGGAGAAACATCTGAGAAGTAAGAAGAGATATAGTGTTTTCTTTCTTTTCTTTAAGGTTTAGGTGAAGGATCTCAGCTTCATTAAAAGCTTCATTATTGGGCAGTTATCAGCTTCAAGAGAGCAGGAATTAGTAGCACTTGTATCATAACACTGCCACATGTTTGAGCATGGAGTCATTAAAATAACGACGTGCACCCTCCAGGAGAGTTTAAACATGTTTTTATTCAGCAGAACTCCTCAGATCTTTACCACATGTCATTATTATATCAGTCTATGAAGTAACCTTCCTTCTGATTTATTATTAAGTCACTTGAAATAATTACATATCCCTTTCTCCATGAAATAATCTTCTATTTATAAAATTCACTACTCAATGGTGCAACAAGGCAATCCACGCTTGGTTCTTGAAGTTTTTTTCACGCTCATTTTCTCCATAGGGATTTCAAAAACGTCTTCAATACAGAGTTTTAACTCATCAACCAAAGCAACCTGTTCCCTAATGAATACAACATTGCAAGCTTTGATTAGGGACAAAAACGTACATTAAATTCTGAAAAAAAGTACAAAACTGTGTACTTAACATCTTTTATGAGCAATCTTTTAACAACCTACTTATTCTAAGAATTGTAAATTAAATATTAATATAAGTGGTACAATTTACTGTATATGTGCAGCAGTGTTGCCAAGTCTGCAGTTTTCTCGCAGAATTGGGATACTTTAACACTGTTGCCGCAGGTTGTTTTTTACCAGGGGAACCCCGCCAAAAATCGTGGATTTTACCCTCTGGGTGTGTTGTTTAACAGGACCCCCTCGGAACATTAGATTTGGGCTAGTTTTGGGTAGAAATTGTGTGGTTTTTGTTGTGAAAACCTGGCAACCCTGATGTGCAGTAAAGACGATGCATTTTATGTTTTAAATTTTAAAGGGTATGAGATAGAAATCTCTTTTTTAGCTCTTTGGAAAAAAAAAAACTAATTCTATTGTAAAAGCATCTCTGATTTGTGGATCTCTGTTTTCACTTGAAATCTATTATTTTATTTAAATTAAAATAATAGATTTTTTAAAGTTAAAATCACATTTAAAATTTGGCTTCTAAAAAAAAAAAACGTATATATATATATCACTGATTAACAACGTTATGGTAGGTATGTCTTGAAAAATGTGTAGGATTCAGCATCAATTTCTCTATAAAATGAATGTGATTTCAGCCCAACTGCTGTGCTCTTAAACTGCTGTGATGTAACCTCATGAGAAAGCTGAAAAAGCTGAGACAATTACAGAGCCAAGGAAATGCATCAGTGGGAACTTCTTGTAAAATAATGAGCTTTACACAATGATTTTATGGTCATTTAATAGGACTATTTATAATAACAATACATAACTTTATAATAGCATCCAGCCCAGAGTTACTATGTATATAGTGTGTGTTTATATCTACAAAAATGGCTAATC